AGTCTCATGAAATGTTTTCTAGCTCATGTGCAGAGCGGGGGGGGGGGGGGGGGGGGGGGGGGGGGGAGGGGGAAGAAGAAGAAGAAGAAATGTTTTCCCCAGTGAAACAGAGCTCTGCTTCTTGGAGGGTCAGGGAAAACTTCCTGTAGGAGGGGACATTTCAGATGGGCTTTGAGGTATGTGTAGGAGTTCACTATCCAGGTAAGCTTATTTTCCAAGGAAGCTCCCCTCACTTACCCTTGTCAGGATGCCTGAGTGACTTTGGTGGTGAGAAAAGTCATCACTGAGGAAAGTCCTCATTTCTAGAGCTTTTGTACCTGTCTTATGTCAACATCCTCTTCAGATATTAAATTGTATTGTGTGTGTGTGTGTGTGTCTGTGTGTATAATATATTCATATTGATCAACATCTAAAAGGTAGAAATGTGTATAGAGGGAAAGGCAGTCTTCCTCCCACCCCTGTTGACAGCATATTCTTTTTGTTTTTTCCTTTTTAAATTTTTTTCTCATTCTGTCACTCAGGCTAAATTGCAGTGGTGCAATCACAGCTTGCTGCAGCCTCAACCTCCTGGGGTCAAGTGATCATCCTGACTCAACCTTCTGAGTAGCCGAGACTCCATGCCTGGATAATTTTTTTATTTTTGTGGAGATGGGGGTCCCACGATGTTGCCCAGTCCAGTCTTGAACTCTTGGGCTCAAGTGATCCTCCCGTAGCAGCCTCACAAAGTGCTGGTGTGAACCACCATGCCCTGTGGACAGCACATATTACATATTATTCTTCCCGGTCTCTTCAGTTAAATCTTGAGTTTCATTTTGCTTTGTTTTTTTCACGAACAATATACTTCAGAGGCTATTTCACCTCAGTGCACAAAGAACTTCCTCATTCTTACAGGTTACAGGCCTCTTGTTATATTGTGGGAAAGTAACCAGCCTGCTATTTGTTGGGGGATATTTCATTTGTTTTTGAGGGGTTGTTTTAGACAGAGTAGGCTGGAGGGTAGTGGCGCTATCTCAGCTCATTGCACCTGCCACCTCCCGGGTTCAAATAATTCTCCTGCCTCAGCCTCCGGAGTGGCTGAAACTACAGGTGCGCACCACCCCGTCCGACAATTTTTGTATTTTTAATGGACACGGGGTTTCACCATGTTGGCCAGGCTGGTCTCGAACTCCTGACTTCAAGTGATCCACCCACCTCGGCCTCCCAAAGTGTTGGAATTACAGGCGTGAGCCGCTGTATCCAGCCACCAGCCTCTTATTGATGGACAGACGGACATCTGCGGCTTCACACCAGGCTCTCTGCAGTGAATAAGCTTGAAGCTGCATTATTTTCTAGCTCTGAAACTAGCTGTAATCTTTGAGCAAGCTACTGATTACCGCCTGATCCTCAGTTTGTTCATGGAAAAGGATACGCTTACCACCTACTTCATAGAGTTGTTGTTGCAATGAAAGGAAATACGTTGGGTCAATCTCTGAATGCATTGGTAATCTTGCTAGATATTGCCAAATTCCCGTGCACAGAAGTTGTATTGATTTACACACTTGCGGGCCGTGCATGAAAAGAACTGTCAGTTTCTCCCACTGCCTCATCACAGGGGCAAACTTGAGGATTTTTGCCAGACTTGTGGGTGACAACTGGTACCCTGGTGTCATGTTTGTTTGTTTGTTTCTTTTGAGATGGAGTCTTGCTCTGTCGCCCAGGCTGGAGTGCGGTGGCACCATCTCAGCTCACTGCAACCTCTGCTTCCCAGGTTCAAACGATTCTCCTGCCTCAGCCTCCCAAAGAGCTGGGATCACAGGCATGTGCCACCACACCTGGCTAATTTATGTATTTATTTATTTATTTTGTATTTTTAGTAGAGACAGGGTTTCGCCGTGTTGGCCAGGCTGGTCTCAGACTCCTGACCTCAGGTGATCCACCCGCCTTGGCCTCCCAGAGCGCTGGGATTATAGGTGTGAGCCACCACACCCCGGTGGCCGGTGTCATCTTAACTGGCATTCCTCTGATGGTCAGCAGCATTGCTGTCCAGGCATAGGAGGTGGATGGTGAAGGCAGGAGAAGGGTCTGTGGGTAGGGCCCCCTTATCCCTAGAGAGGCGGTTTCTGAAACCTCATTGAAGGGGTTAATGGGGAGTTTTCTCTGATTTCCTGTAAACCACGTTCCTTTCCGTGCCAGGGGTAGGGGGAGGCGTGGAGCATGAGAACAAACCTGGCGTCTGTCTGCACTGATTGCAACACACTCTTTGGAAGAGGAGGAGGAGGAGGAGGAGAGAGTATGAAAACACCTGCTTGCTCTCCAGAATTGGGGTTCAGCTTTTGAAACTGCATCCGCTTGCCAGGCGCAGTGGCTCACGCCTGTCATCCCAGCACTTTGGGAGGCCGAGGCAGGCAGATCACCTGAGGCCAGGAGTTGGAGACCAGGCTGGCCAACATGGCGAAACCCCATCTTTACTAAAAATACAAAAAGTAGCTGGGCATGGTGGTGGGTGCCTGTAATCCCAGGTACTCGGGAGGCTGAGGCAGGAGAATCTTTTGAACCCAGGAGGTAGAGGTTGCAGTGAGCTGAGATTGCACCAATGCACTCCAGCCTGGGTGAAAGAGAGAGCCCCTGTTGCCAAAAAATAAAAAATAAAAAAATAATAAAAAAAGAAAGACACTGGATCTTCCAATTGCCCCATTCCATCTTCTATCCCCCACTTTCTCCTCAAGCCACCCCGTTTCCTGGTTTCATTCTAGACTCAAGCATTTGGCCTTGTGGTTTGACAACCTTGAGAAGGAATTCCTGTCTGGCTTCTGTCTAGCTGCAAACCTGGGTTCCTCTTTTCTCTGAGCCTCGGTTAATCCAACTAAACAATGGGACTGAAGATAGTTCTGGTAGTTGTGACAATTAAAGAAGCCAGGATGCCTAGAAGCCACCAGGCTCAGAGGGGCAGATGTGGTGGTTCATGCCTGTAATGCCAGCACTTTGGGAGGCTGAGGCTGGGGGATCACTGGAGGTCAGGGGTTCGAGACCAGCCTGGCCAACATGGTGAAACCCTGTTTCTACTAAAAAATACAAAAATTAGCTGGCTAGGCACGGTGGCTTACGCCTGTCATCCCAGCATTTTGGGAGGCCAAGGCGGATGGATCACCTGAGGTCAGGAGTTCAAGACCAGCCTGGGCAACATGGTGAAACCTCATCTCTACTAAAAATACAAAAACTAACCAGGCATGGTGGCATGCACCTGTAATCCCAGCTATTGGAGAGGCTGAGACAGGAGAATCACTTGAACCTGGAAGGTAGAGGTTGCAGTGAGCGGAGATCATGCCACTGCACTCCATCCTGGGCGACAAGAGCGACACTCTGTCTCAAAACAAACAAACAAACAACAACAACAAAAAATTAGCTGGGCATGATGGCAGGTGCCTGTAATCCCAGCTACTCGGGAGTCTGAGCCCGGAGGATCACTTGAACCTGGGAAGGGTCTGGCCCTACCCTGACCTCCAAGAAGTGACCAGAGGGGAGGGGCAGGATGAGAAGTGAGGGGGTTGGAGGCTGGAGCGGATGGCAGCCTGCTGGGAGGGAGGGAGGGAGATGAGATGGGGAATTCTTCAGAACCTCGTGACTTTTTCTGCGAGACGTGCATTTGTGTCCAGAGTTTGATAGGGGGATAGTGCACAAAGATGAGCCCGCAGGGGAGGGAGAGAAGGAGGTCTGGGTGTGCATTGGGGTACTTTCCATTTGCATGTCCACCCAGCCCAGCATTCCGGGAATCCAGGAGGGGAGTTCGGCCACCCAAGCTAAACATTCATGGGTTATCTGGAAGCTACATATACTGAAAAAGTGTTTGTTATTTATCTGAAATTCAAATGTAACTGAGCGTCCCGTATTCTGTTTGGCAATTCTCGCGGGGGTGCAAGGGGAAAATGAGAAGGGGCCGGGGTACGGTGACTCATGCTTGTAATCCAGCACTTTCGGGAGGCTGAGGTGAGAGCATCATTTGAGCCCAGGAGTTCGAGACCAGCCTGAGACATATAGTGAGACTTCGTCTTTACAATTGAAAAAAAAAAAAATTAGCGGGGCATGTTGGCGTGCCTGCAGTCCCAGCTCCTCAGGAGGCTGAGGCAGGAGGAGTTAGAGGTTGTAGTGAGTTATGACTGCACCACTGCCCCCCAGCCTGGATGACAGAGCAAGACTCTGTCTCCAAAAAAAAAAAAAAAAAGGAAAGACAAAGAAGAAAGAAGGAAAATGGGAAGAAGGAAGTGGGAATGATTTCTGGGTGGCGGACCCAGGTGCCCCCGCCTCACACCCGCCTGAGTTCACTTACTGCCCACTATACCCCATCCCCTCCCCTTCCCCCAACAAAGGGGCAACCAGGCCCGGGAGCAGCTGGGAAACCCCCTATCCCACCGTCTAATTCCAGGTTGAGGTGACTGCTTTTCTAGAATTTTTCTCCAGGACCCACAGCCAGGCCATCCCCTTCTCCCACTCTATTACTGATTAATTCAAATTAACCTTGACCTGGCTGAATCAATCTATCTGCCTGGCAACAATGGCTCTTTCCCTCCTCTCGCTCTTGTACTCAGCAGAAACTAGCTGGGGCCCTATGGACTCCAGCCCTGGGAAAATGGACAGCAGTGGGTTTTGATTCCAGCTCTGCAGGGCCCCTGGGAAGGTCCAGCCCCTCCTCCCAGCCTTGGTTCCTAATCTGTCAACTGGAGATCCACAGCCTAGAGCCTCCTTTCTAGTCTTGGAATGAAAGTCCCGAGTGGCACCCGGGAAACAAACCATAGCCCAGTGCCCTGCACGTACTGAGCGCTCAGTACACTTGAATTGGTTTTTTTTTTTTTTTTTTTTTTTGAGACAGAGTCTTGCTGTCGTTGGTCGGGGCAGGAGTGTAATGGCGCGATCTTGGCTCGCTGCAACCTCTGCCGCCCGGGTTCTAGCAATTCTCCTGCCTCAGCCTCTCAAGTAGCTGAGATTACAGGCACCTGCCACCACACCCGGCTAATTTTTGTATTTTTAGTAGAGACGGGGTTTCACCATGTTGGCCAGGCTGGTCTTGAACTCCTGAAGAACTGTATTTTTTTTTTTGCTAACACCCGCGTCTTCTACTCCAGCCTTGCTTGGGTGATGGTCCCACCAGGCTTCCAAGATGGACTCCTCACTTCTTCTCATTCCCAGAATTTACCTGCTGGCCAAGCCTCTGCCTGGAATCTCCCAGTTCATCCTCCCTCTCCACACCTGTGATCTCTGCAGAGGTGAGGACCTCTGCCCCAGCTTCCTCCCTACCAGCCCATTTACTCTGAAGCAGCTAGAGACTCTTTACTTGTATTTTATTGTATTTTATTTATTTATTTATTTATTTTTGGTGAGACGGAGTCTCGCTCTGTCGCCCAGGCTGGAGTGCAATGGCGCGATCTCGGCTCACTGCAACCTCCACCTCCCTGGTTCAAGCAATTCTGCTGCCTCAGCCTCTTGAGTAGCTGGGATTACAGGCACCAGCCACCACGCCTGGCTCATTTTTTGTATTTTTGGTAGGGATGGGGTTTCACTATGTTGGCCAGGCTGGCTGGTCTTGAACTCCTGACCTCAAATGATCTGCCCACCTGGGCCTCCCAAAGTGTTGGGATTACAGGCGTGAGCCACCGCGCCCAGTCATATTTTATTCTTTTCAAAACAGGGTCTGGCCCTGTCACTCAGGCTGGAGTGGTGCAATCATAGCCCACTCTGGCCTCAAACTCCTGGGTTGAAGCAATCCTCCCGCCTCAGCCTCCTGAGTAGCTGGGACAAGGTGCACGTCACCATGCCTGGCTTGGCGACTCCTTCCTTTCTAAAATCCACCTTTGGGCCGGGCATGGTGGCTTATGCCTATAATTCTGGCACTTTGGGAGGCCAAGATGGGTGGATCGCTTGTGGCCAGGATTTTGAGACCAACCTGACCAACATGGTGAAACCCCATCTCTACTACAAATACAAAATTAGCCAGGCATGGTGGCACATGCCTGTAATCCCAGCTACTAGGGAGGCTGAGTCAGGAGAATTAATTGAACCCAGGAGGTGGAGGTTGCAGTGAGCTGAGATCACACTATTGCACTCTAACCTGGGTGACAGGGCAAGACTGTGTCTCAAACAACAACAAAAACCCTACCTTTGTATTCCTTTGACCAATCATGATGTATAACACAGGAATGCACACTCATGTTCACAAACGCCTATGAGATGTGCGTGGTGGCAACTTGTCTATTTCACGTATTTTAACCCTTGTTTACACCACATGCTGTAGGTACTATCATTGCCCCATTTTACAGATGAAGAAACAGAGGCTTCGGCTGCTTGCCCGAGATCCTGCGGCGGGTAAGTGTCGGAATCTGAACTCAGACAGCTGGGCTGTATAGAGAGCGTGCTCTTAAACTGTGTGAGTTCTTAACTGCTGCAGCAAAAGATGACTGCAAACTCGGTGGCTTAAAACAACATGTTTATTTTCTTACAGTTCTGGAGGTCAGACGTCTAAAATCAAGGTGTCAACAGGACTGCGTTCCTTTCTGGAGGAAACAGGTGAACCCATTTCCTTGCCTTTTTCAGTGTCTAGCAACCGCCTACATTCCTTGGCTTGTGGCCCCTTCCTTGCAATCACTGCAGCCTCTGCCTCTGTCACTGTGTCTCCTTCTCTAACTCTGACCCTCCCACCTGGCTCTTATTTTTTTTATTTTTTATTTTTTGAGACAGAGTTTCACTCTTGTTGCCCAGGCTGGAGTACAATGGCGTGATCTCGCTCACTGCAACCTCCGCCTCCCAGGTTCAAGCGATTATCCTGCCTCAGCCTCCCAAGTAGCTGGGATTACAGGCGTGTACCAGCATGCCCAGCTAATATTTTGTATTTTTAGTAGAGACAGGGTTTCACCATGTTGGCCAGCCTGGTTTCAAACTCACGACCTCAGGTGATCCTTGGCTTCCCAAAATGCTGGGATTACAGGCATAAGCCACCATGCCCGGCCTCCACCTCCCTCTTATAAAGACCCTTGTGATGATATTGGGCATATCCAGATAATCCGAGATACCCCCCCACCCTGCACACACACACACACATTTTAATAGCCTTAATCCCACGCACAAAGTCCCTTTTGCTGTGTGATAGAACATATATCCACAGGCCTTGGGGATTTGGACATGCACATCTTTTTTTTTTTTTTTTTTGAGACAGGTCTTTCGCTCTGTCACCCAGGCTGGAGTGCAGTGGTGCGATTTCAGCTCACCACAACCTCCGCCTCCTGGATTCAGGTGGTTCTCCTGCCTCAGCCTCCTGAGTAGCTGGGATTACAGGTGCCCACCACCATGCCCAGCTAATTTTTGTATTTTTAGTACAGATGGGGTTTCACCGTGTTGCCCAGGCTGGTCTCAAACTCCTGACATGTGATCCGTCTGCCTAGGCCTCCCAAAGAGCTGGGATTACAGGTGTGAGCCACCACGCCGGCTGGATGTGCCCATCTTTGAGGGGACGTATGACTCAGCTGACCGCAGCAGGCACATGCCGTCTCTCTGGCTGTGCTCCTCCCTGCTTTAAATTCCTCTATGGCTCCTGTGGACCCCTGGATGAAGCCCCTTGTGCCTGCCTGTCCTTAGGCCTCTGCCAGCTTCTCTCACCCTCCTCCTGCCCCCTCCAGCCTTGGGGGCCATCCCAGCCTTCCCCGCCGTGTTCATGTAACTTCCCCAGTCTGCAATGCCTCCCACTTCCTTCTTTGTCTGACCGGGCTATTTATTCATCTGGGCCCCAGCTATATTTGTTTCTGCTTACAGGAAACCTTCACCCCAGCCCTGTTCCCTGCCTCTGTCCCATGCTTGTGGTCTCCAGCGAGGAAGGCTTCTCTGAGCTTCAAAAGGCATTCTGGGTGCTCTAGTTGAAGGGCAGGTGAGTCGGGGGTGGAGACCCATCTTGGGAGCCTACCCTTAACTGTGTGCACAAGTGGATCTCTAATTCCACGGTTGCCCCTCAAGATTCAGGGCTGGTTCCCTAGAAGTCAGGCCGAGGCTGTGCAGCTGGGCGCTGTGCCAAGCCAGACACCTCTTATTGTATGTGATACTCAACACTTAGGAGGCCCCATGTTATATGCGAGGAAACAGAGAGGGTAAGCCAGTGATCCAGGGTCACACAGCAAATGCTAACAGGCTGAGAGGTTTGGTCCCAGGGAGTCTAGCTACAGAGCAGCAATGCACACAGTCGGTGTCTGGCTTTGAGCCCAGAGTCTCCCATTCACTCATTAGCTGTGTGACCTCAGGGAGGTTTCTTATCCTCTCTGTGCCTCACAGGCTTTTTAACAAATTAAAATCCACAGAAGCCTTAATATACAGTGTGGCATAGCAATCACTCTGTGTTACCTCATATTATTTTTTCTTTTCTTGAGATGGGGTCTTGCTTGTTGCCCCAGCTGGGCTTTAACTCCTGGGCTTGAGTGATACTCCTGCATTGCCCTCCCGAGTAGCTGGAACTACTACAGGCACTTGTCACTGTGCCTGGTTAGCTTCTATCATTATTGTTTTTGAGATGGAGTCGGCCGGGCGCGGTGGCTCAAGCCTGTAATCCCAGCACTTTGGGAGGCCGAGACGGGCGGATCACGAGGTCAGGAGATCGAGACCATCCTGGCTAACACGGTGAAACCCCGTCTCTACTAAGAAATACAAAAAACTAGCCGGGCGAGGTGGCGGGCGCCTGTAGTCCCAGCTACCTGGGAGGCTGAGGCCGGAGAATGGCGTGAACCCGGGAGGCGGAGCTTGCAGTGAGCTGAGATCCAGCCACTGCACTCCAGCCTGGGCTACAGAGTGAGACTCCGTCTCAAAAAAAAAAAAAAAAAGATGGAGTCTTGTTCTGTTGCCCAGGCTGGAGTGCAGTGGTGCGATCTCTGCTCATTGCAACCTCTGCCTCCCTGGCTCAAGCGATTCTCCCATTTCAGGCTCCTGAGTAAGCTGGAATTACAGGCGCCTGCCACCAGGCCCGGCTAAGTTTTGTATTTTTAGTAGAGACAGGGTTTCATCATGTTGACCAGGCTGGTCTCGAACTCCTGACCTCAAACGATCTGTCTGCCTTGGCCTCCCAAAGTGCTGGGATTACAGGCGTAAGCCACCACACCCGGCCTATTCCTTCTTTTCCTCTGTAGCCTGAGCCACTTGTGTGTCTTCAAATCCCCGTTTTCCCCTCGCCCCCAGCTTTCATGCCTGCGGTTCCCTCATCGGGGCATGAGCTCTTCCACCACGTTTCTACTGACCTCTCCTGACCCCCACGGCTGGGTCAGGGCCCGGTGCAGTCCCCGACACGGCGCTGATGGTCCAGTGATGGCCTTGCCAGGTGACATGTCCCTCTGCCTGACCCCCACCCTGGGCACTGGGAGCCCCTCAAGGGCTGGGACCAGGTGGGTCTTGGAGACTGCTCCGTCCCAACGCCTGGCTTTGGGCCCTGCATGCAGCTGTTACTAAATAAGTATTTATTGAATGTGCAAAGACACGGACCCTATGCGCCCCCCACACACAGCGAAAACAGGTTTCTACATTGTAAACACAACCTCCGTGTAGACCCCAGCCCCCAAAAAGGCAAGACACCGGCGTAGCCAAACAGATTGGTCATTATTGTACATATAGCTGGAAGGGAGGGGTGGTCCCGGAGTGAGGACAGGGCTGCCCAATACTTGGGGGGAGGAAGGGACTCTTCTTCCAAATGGGCTTGTCCGGGAACCGGGGTCCTGGGGAGCTGGGCGCCTGGTCCACATGGACCCCCTCCACCTCCCCACATACGCTGTGGAAGAAGGTCAGGAGTAGAAATGCTGGGGGAGAAGGATCCTTTGGTCTGAGATGTGGAGGTGATCATAACAGTTCCCGCCCGCTGGCTGTTTTGTTGACTTTGGAGAGGCCTTCCCGGAACCCAGAGTCGGTCATTCTGGGGGCAGACAGCAAGGAGGCGTCCAGCGCTGCAGGGCAGCAGGCGCCGCCCACCCACCGCCTACGGCAGCCCAGGCCCTACTCTTCTACCCCAATCACCTAGGCCCCGCCCCTGCCACAGCAGCCCTGGCCCCGCCCACCCTACCCTGAACCACTCAGGCCCCACCCACCTCACCCCCACAGTAGCCCAGGCCCCACCCATTCTACCCCCAACTACCTAGGCCCCGCCCACCCCGCCCCCAGAGCAGCCTTGGGTGTCGCCCTAGCGGCCCTAACCCCACCCCCAGCTCAGCCTGGCCTTAGGCACTCCACAGCTGTCCAGTCTCCACCTGCACAGCTGCCCTGGCTGCCCCCATCTCCCCTCCATCCCTCCTCAACAGCAGGCTCTGCCCTAACACTGTCCCTAGGGCTGCTACAGTCCCTCCCCCCTGCCCACCCTGCCCTGAGAGCTGCCCGCCCCCTACTCCGCCCCTAGAGCCACCAGCCCTGCCATGGTGCCCGGCTCACACTTGCTCCATCTGAACATCCTCCTCGTCCTCCTGGGGCAGCTGCAGGTACGGGTTGTCCCCTGTGGGCTGGAACTTGTAGCCCGTGAGCACGAAGAAGGCCAGGGTGGAGCCTTCCACCAAGAGCTGGGGGACAGGACAGAGTGGGGGTGTCAGGCTCATGCCCCCCTCACTGCGGCTGCCCTCCTGTCCCACCCGGGCCTCAGGCTCACCTGGTATAGCCACTGCCACTGAAAGGGGACAGCCACCTGCAGCAGGATGGCGATGATGCGGGTGAAGTAGACATAGCAGATGACCTGCAGGGGTGCAAGCAGGCGTGGGGCTGGACTGCAGGGGCACGGGCAGGCGTGGGGCCAGGACTGCAGGGGCGCGGGCAGGCGTGGGGCTGGATTGATGGACCACGGGCTGGGGCGTCTGGGTGGGGGCCTCGGGATGGGGCAGCGGCCGAGGGGCTGGGGTGGGCGTGCAGCAGGTCGGTAATTGCCCTAAACCCCCCGTGAGCGAGGCGGGCTCCTACCATGACATAGTAATGCCGGAACAGCTTCAGCTTGGCCAGGTTCACCGCCACTGAGGGTGGGCACAGAGAGGGGGGTCAGGGGAGACTGAAGGTGGGAGGGAGGCAAGGGGGCTGGGGGCTGGGGGCTGGGAGAGGGGACAAACAGAACATCTGAGGGAGTGTCCAACGAGCAGAAAGTCTAGAGGGGACATTAGGTGGGGCAGAAGTCTAGAGGGGACATTAGGTGGGGCAGAAAGGCCGAAGGGGGAGATCAGAGAGGAGGGAAGGGCCCCCCAATGGGGCGGAGAGGCCAGATAGAGGCATCTGGCGGGGAAGAGAGGCCAGACTGGGGCGTCCAGGGAGGCAGAGGCCTGGGGGCTGGGCAGAGAGGCCAGGAAGGGCATCCAAGAGGCAGAAAGAAGGGCCTGGGGCAGGAAGAGGGCCATGAGCAGAGGGCCCACAGGTGCAGGGCCTCACCCTTCCCGTCTGTGCCAGACGCATCCTGGAGATGCCGGATGGACCTGGGACAAGTGGAGGACACAGGGTGCGGTCAGCACAGACATCGCCCATGTGCACAGGGCAGGGCCTCAGCCGGGGGCAGGGTCCTCACCAGACTACGGGGAACAGGATGGCGCCGCAGCAGATGAGATCCACCAGGAACAAAATCTCCTTCCACAGCACGTAGTCGCTGGCGCCCTCCTCGCGGGACTCGATGACGATGTAGGCCACGTTGGCCAGGACCTGCGCAGGTGGCGGGGGTGGGTGGGCACTGCCCGGCGCGCTCCCCTCTGCCCCCACCGCCCTGTGCAGCCCTCCCCACCCTGCTCCGGAGGCCGCTCCATCTGCACCTGCATGGAGATCACGATCCCAAAGACTTTCTTCTCCTTATCCGACAGGACGCACTTGATGAAGGCCCAGCCTGAGCCGATCAGGGCGATGGTGATGAAGAGAAGAGCACCCTTCAGCCTGGGGGGGCAGGGGACGGTGTGATGATGAGGTGGGGGGCCCGCCCTCCCCTGCCCGCCTCCCCCCAGCTGCCAGGCAGAGCGGGCGCACTCACAGGCGGGTGATGTAGTGCATGACGGCAAGGCCTTCGATGGGGTGGCCCTGGCTGTTGATGAAGTAGTAGTTGATCTGGGGGTGGACGGACAGACGGACAGTGAGGCACACGGAGGGGTGGGAGGCTGGTGGTGGTGGTGGGGGCAGGATTAGGAACACAGACCGTCACCATCAGATGGGTGGTCAGAAAGGTGAATAATGAGGACGGTGGGTGGGACTCAAAACTGGTAATTGGGGCTGAAAAAACGGAGGGAACGGTCACAGTTGGAAGGGTGAATGGTTGGACAATCAATGAGACGGACGGTCACAGCTGAACCAAGGGACAGTGACGGACAGAGCTGCCCAGCAGGACTGGCGGACAGAGGGGACGGGCGGCTGGCCACACTGGTAAAACGGGTGGACACGTGGAGAGCTGGGGGATGGCCCTCCCACAAGCCCCGGGTCTGCAGAGATTTGGGGGATGGCCCAGATGGTCTCTTCCTCCCGGCCCACCCCCCGCTGCCCCCCGGTGCAAGGCTCTCACGCTGTGGAAGAGGAGAGAGATGCTCTTGGTGAAGGCCAAGGCCGCCATGAGCCAGTGGATCTTGAAGACGCTATACCTGGTGGGAGGGTCAGGGAGAGATGGGGTGGGGGGCACCAGCAGGGCATAGGGATGGGGGTCTGGTGAAGGGACAGGGGGGACCCCCAGGGGCAGGGGCATTACATGTTCCTGCAGAGGACGGACACCCAGAAGATGCCGGCGGCCAGGAAGCAGGCGGACATGACCAGGTACAGCTTGAAAAGGGGCATCTCCGCCGCCGACAGGAAGCCATCGGGGTTCTTCTCCCGGATCATCACCTGGGGAGGGGACAGTGGTGGGCGGTGGTGGCAGCGGCACAGCCTGACCTCTGGCCTGGGAGAGCAGCGAGTGGGGGTCTCCTGCTCTCCCACTTTCTACTGGGCCACTCATCCACTCTGAGCCTCAGTTGGCCCCATCTCCCAAATGGGTATAACAGCTCCTACTCCGCATCCGGGAGAGCTGGGAGAAGCTAAGTGGGGTGTGGTGCTCCAGGCCCGCAGTGGGTGCTCCCTGGCCCTGCTGTCCTCCCCTCCGCTCACCGTGATGTCGAATGGATGCTCCTTTCCCGGCACTGAATTGTTGCAGTTGTGGAAGTTCAGGCTGTACTGGCCTTCTTCCGCCTGAGAGCCGACCACCACGTGGAACTGGGCGGGGGAGAGAGGAGGGCTCAGCCTGGGGGTCCTGTGGTCTGGGGCGACAGTCAGCTTGGGGGTCCTGTGCTCTGGGACGACCGTAGGGCTGCAGGAGGGCTCAGCCTGGGGGTCCCGTGCTCTGGGGACACAGTAGGGCTGCAGGAGGGCTCAGCCTGGGGGTCTCATGCTCTGGGGACACAGTAGGGCTGCAGGAGGGCTCAGCCTGGGGGTCCCATGCTCTGGAGACACAGTAGGGCCGTAGGAGGGCTCAGCCTGGGGGTCCCGTGCTCTGGGGTGATGGTAGGGCCGCAGGAGGGCTCAGCCTGGGGGTCCCGTGCTCTGGGGTGACGGTAGGGCCGCAGGAGGGCTCAGCCTGGGGGTCCCGTGCTCTGGGGACACAGTAGGGCTGCAGGAGGGCTCAGCCTGGGGGTCCCGTGCTCTGGGGTGACGGTAGGGCCGCAGGAGGGATCAGCCTGGGGGTTCCGTGCTCTGGGGTGATGGTAGGGCCGCAGGAGGGCTCAGCCTGGGGGTCCCGTGCTCTGGGGTGACGGTAGGGCCGCAGGCGCTGCAGACACTCACACTGAAGTTATAGGAGTTGTTGAGGTGGCTCAGGCCTAACACCAGCTCCTTGTCCTTCCCGCTAGGACCCTGAAGGGACAGAGCCCCTCCATCAGCTGGCTCTGGGTCCCCGCAGGGCCCTGGGGTGTGCCATCTTCCCTCCCGCCCCACCTCCCTGAAACCTGAGGCACTGCGGGTGTGGACTTGGGCTTGCTGGCTGCAGCGGTCCCTCCTGTAAGAGACCAGGCAGTGATTTCAAGAGATGGATGGATAGAGGGGCGGCAGGAAAATGGGATGGGGGGTGCACAGGGCGGACCTGCCCATCCACCCCTGCCGGCACAGCCAGCCTGACTCACCGCCATCCACCTTGCGGGGGACTGTGGCCTGTGGCTTTGGGAGCCCTGGTTCGGAGGGCGCTTCGGGGAGGAGCCCGGGAAAGATAAACAACTTCTTCTGCTCTCCATACTTCCGCACCTGGACCCTGCGGGGAGGGTGGGGTGCGGCATGAGGCTGGGGGGCCGAACCTGGCTCAGGCACACAAGCCCAGGCAAAGGACTCAGTGGCCTCTGGCACCCTCTTGCGGGGCGGGGGTCCAGCCGAGTCAGCTATCACTGAGTTTCAGCCTTTGGTTCCCACTGGTCAAGGCGGCGACCGCCTTCCTGTGCTGCCTGCACCAGCAATTATTTGTCATTTCCCATGACATCAATCTACTCTTTTTCTCTTTTCTTTAGAGACAGGGTCTCGCTCTGTCACCCAGGCTGGAGCGCTGTGGTACAGTCGCAGCTCACTGCAGCCTCAGATTCCTAGCATCAGGCAGTTCTGCCACCTCAGCCTCCGGAGTAGATGGGACCACAGGCACGTACCACCACCGTGCTTGGCTAATTTTTAAATTTTCTATAGAGACGGGGTCTCCCTATGTTGCCCAGGCTGGTCTTGTTTTCCTGGCTTCAAGTGATTCTCCTGGCTCAGCCAGCCAAAGCACTGGAATTAATGGTATGAGCCACTGTGGCCAACCCCACTGTATAATAATAATAATGATAATAGACAGGCTCTTGATCTGTCATCAAGGCTGGAGTGCAGCAGTGCAATCTTGGCTCACTGCAACCTCCACCTCCCCAGCTCAGGCGATCCTCTCACCTCAGCTTCCAGAGTAGCTGGGACTACAGGCGTGCACCACCCTGCCTGGCTAATTCCTGTATATTTTTTGTTGGTAAAGACAACGTTTTGCCATGTTGCCCAGGCTGGTCTACAATTCCCGGGCCCAAGCAATCCGTTTATGTTGGCCTCCCAAAGTGCTGGGAGCCATTGCCCGGCCCTAAGTATATTATTTAAAAATAAAGCATTTTATCTACAGAAAAGCAACATGGTTTTGTCAGACCCTGGCCCCAGGCTGCCTGGCTCCAAATCCCAGTTCCTGGGACTCAGTTTTCTCATCTGAAGAGCAGATCACAGGATAAGGAATCGATGAGTTAATGTGTTAAAGCTCCAGGACACGGCCTGGCAAACCAGAAGCACTCAACATGTGCGAACAATTGTTATTCCTTCTCACAACAGCCCTCTGTATCCGGGCCTTCTGCCTTGAGGCACCAACACCCGCTGAGTCCCTCTCTCCTTCCTTCCAATAATCAGAAGACTTGAAGGCAAAACTAAAAAGTAAGTGGTGTTCTCTCTCTGCTTCTCATCCCACCTGATCAGCCCAGGTGCCTGTGGGCATCACACAGGGAAACGCAGAGGAAGGATCTGAACGATCCCCCGGTCCCCAACTCACTGCAGATCCTTGGTGTTGATGAGGAACAGGACCAGGAAGCTGCTACTGTTTTTCTGGAGAGGGCAGTCCTGGAAATCCCGGGTCTAGGCGGGTGGGGAGGAGGGAGTCTTGGTTACTCCTCCCCTGGCCCAGCTCCACCCTGTCTCCCTCCCTGTCCACCCAGGGGCTCTTCCTGCTCCTGCCTCTGAGAAAGAACAGGGGCCTTTGGGTTACAGGTGCAGAGGACAGACCCCACCCCCTCCCTCCAGCCCCTTCTCCCATCTTCCCCATTCCCTCCACTCACTGAATAGGAGTGAACTCTGCCAGATCGAACCCGGCTGAGACTGAACCCCACCTGGTGGATGGAAAAAAAAGGGGAGGGTGTGAGGGACAGTAGAGAACTCCCAGCTATCCCTTTCAGTAGCAATAGAAACCTAACCTCACATTTACTGAACACCTAATGTGTGCTAGATCCCACACACTCTCTCTTTTTTTTTTCAGAGTTGGGGTGGTGGGTGGACCTCATTCTGTTTCTCAAGCTGGAATACAGTGGCAGGATCATAGCTCACTGCAGCCTCGAACTCCCGGGTCCAAACGATCCTCTCACCTCAGCCTCCCGACTGGTTGGGACTACAGGCACACCTCACCATGCCTGGCTAATTTTGTAGGGACGGGGGTTCTCACTGTGTTGCCCAGGCTGGTCTTGAACTCCTGGCCTCAGGCAATCCTCCCACCTTGGCCTCCCAAAGTGCTAGGACTACAAAGCCCGAGCCACCGCGCCCTGCCTGTCCCCCACGTCTTAAGAAAAGTGCCTAGCACATCCTGTTTAAGACATCAGTATTCCCAGTTACAGATGAGGAAACAGGCTCAGAGAGATCACGGGACTTGCACAAGATTACATGGGTAGAGGCAGAGCTGGGAACCCAGAACCAGGGGATTGCATCCTGCTCTCCTTTAGCAAACTCCTCAAGGTCCCTCACCAGCAGGGACTTCTCTTCTGCCTCCCGGAGGCCCAGCCGCAGGAGGCTCAACTCCACCTCCAGGGAGCCGTTGGTGTAGAAACCGAAGTTGTTCAGCTGGATGTCTGCTCGCTTCTCCCCCTGCCGGAGACCAACGAGGCAGAGGCAGTTCAGACCGCTGCCCAGCCCCAGGAGTCTGGCACGAGGATCCCCCGAAGGGCCTCCTGGTACCCCTCTGTTTAGGAAAGGCCCGGAGGATGACAAGAGAAAGTTGAGAGGGACTTCCTCCCTGCAGGGAAAGGGTGGTCCTGCATTCTCCGACTTCTCTTCTGAACCCAGGAACAGAGATCCTGGGGCACGTGGAAGTCCCCCCACTGGGATAAGCACAACCCAGAGAACAGTTATTCACCTCGGAGGGCCTGACCACCTTCCGGAAGAACTTTTAGATTCCAGTTGAGCTCCCAGCAACATTTCAACGGAACCCCCCCAATCCCATTAAGTGCCCCGAGGACCCCACTCTATAGCCCCCCCCCCAGGACCCCGCTGTGCGGCTTCAGGGTCTTTAGCGTCCCAAAAGTGATTCCAAGAATTTAAAGGACTAAGACCCAACCGGGGGGGAGGGGGTGTAGTCCCCAAGAGATGGAGCCACGCCCCCGAAGGGAGGGGCCCGACCCTAGCGATGCGGGCCCGGCAACTCCATCCGGAGGACGGAAGGGGATCCCGGGACAAGACCACTCCGGGCCCGGAAACGGGGGGCGCCGGACCACTCCATCCCGCGTCGGGGGCGGGGGAGGGCGGACGAGACCACTCCAAGCCAGGGGGCTTCTCCGAGACAAAGTTGCGCCCCCGACCCCAGACCCTCACGCGGCGGGCCTCACCGTCAGCGCCAGCCGGTGGATGCGCCCGGAGCAGCCGCCCAACAGCAACAGCAGAAGTAGCCGCTGCCCCCACCTCCCGCGGCCGAGCCCCCTCCTCTCGCTCACTGCCATCTCTAGAGCCACCGCCTCCCCGACTCCGCCTCTGGCGCCCAAGCCCGCCCACCGATGAGCCAATCGCCGCACGGCGGGACCCGGTGCTTCGGAATTTCCAGTCTGCCAGCCAATCAACAATTGCCTCTCCGCAAGGCCGCCTACTTACGACACCCGATGGACAGCACCAGTTCCGAATGGGAGTGCCGACAACGCTTAACCCCCGCGCTCACTCTCACCAATCGCTATAAAGATTGTCCAGGATGTGATTTAATGAGCAGTTTATCTAACCAATTGTCATGGATCTGATATCCGGCCCTTGAAGCGGAATTTCTCCACCGAGTCTTAACGGTCCGGGACTACATTACCCAGAATGCAGTGGGAGCAGACAAGGGCAACAAGGCATTAAATAAACTACATTTCCCAGTATCGCCAAGGACGGACTTCCTCTTCTTGCCTCAGGGATGTGGCTCCCAGCCAGAGCTCAGGCTTTTGGTAAACACACGCATCTGTTCAGGCCTGACCTGTTTTCCTAATCTTCCTGGTCCACAGAGAGGCCTAAAGCTGGCCTCTGGTTAAAGTTTGACCCCAGGATGACCTATGACCTCAGGCTGAGACCCCAGCCTTAGGTTAAGCCTTTTATTCCAGAGTGAGGCAATTGGAGCCCCATCCCCAGATTACAGGCTAGACCGGACTCCGGGCTGAACTCTGACCCCAGGTGAACTCCCCCTGCAAGTTGAGTCCCAACTTCAGCCTGAAATTCTGACATCCCCTCGTCCCCCACACCACACACTGAGGCTTAATCTCTGGTTTAGGCCACCGATCTGGACTAGTCCTGACTCCAGATTGGACCTGACCCCTTACTGGGTTTCTAATCCTTCTGGTTAAGCCTCTGGCCTCAGTTTGAGACCCTATCCCCACCGTGGTGCTGACCTGGGTTGAACCCCAATTCCAATTTGTGTCTCTGAGCAGAGGTGAACTCAGAACTTTGCTAGGCTGAGCCCCCATTTCAGACGAGCCACTAAACTCACTGGGTTCAGTTGCCCAACTGCAATCAGACATTTTCTAGCTCAGAAGCCACCAGCAGGTGGGGCCAGGTCCCAGCAGAGACATCAGTCCCAGTGTGGGCTCCCAAAGCTCTCCTGGGCTCACCTGTATCTCTCTGTCCTGGGAGCCTGGGTGCTCTTGTGTAAGGGGAACGTATCCCCAAGGGCCCCCCTGCAAGACGCCCCGCCTTCTCTGTAGCTACAGAGAAAGCGCCAAAGGCCGGAGAGAATGGGGGTGGGAATCCCTAGTGCCTCCTCTTCTCTTTCATCCCAGCACCTCAAAGGGATTTACAAGGTGTGAACAGACTTTTATGGGAGAGGTGACAGACTTCCCTTCTCCACGGCCCAGATGTCCCAGATGTCAGGGGGAGGGGCAGAGGCGGAATCTCAGGGGCAGTACTGAGAATTAAACCAGATTAAACCTTCATGGATGGGACTGGAAAATGGGCAGATGCAGGCGCTAACTGGAAGGCAGCAGGGGAAGGGCCTGGGCCTGGCGCCCCAAGGACAGCCCGTCCTCAGTTTCCCAGCGGAGACTGGGGGAGGGAAGGCAGGATGCGGTGCGGGAGCTAATGGACCCGGCCTTGGCGGAGGCGCGTCCTGGGTTGGATCGAAGCCCTCTCATCCGCCCTGTGGCCGGAGGGACCAGACCATTAGTGGGACGAACCTAGACGCCTGGAGCCGGGCCGGCTCGCAAGAACGGGGTGACCTCAGGTTGCCCCTGCAACGGGGTTGAGGAAGGACTTATTGAGTTTGGGGTTTTAGCATCTTGGCCCTTTAAGGAATAATTGCGGGGAAAGGGGAAAAGGAGATAGGAAGAACCGTTTGGAGTGGGGAAGGAAGATGAGAGGACGAGAGGGACCCCGGGGATTTGGAAAAATGGGTGGGGGTTCTTTAAGGGGTCCAGCGGAGTTGAGTGGCAACGTTTCTTTAAAAGGGGGCGGAGCGTCCGTTGGGCCCCGCCCCCGAAGCGCAGGACTAGGGCTCCATGCGGGTGGGGGCGTGGCACAGCGTGCAGAGGGGCGTGGAAGGGTCTGGGGTGGGCCGGGGCGGGGTGGGGCGGGGCCAGGCGCACCGCCCTCGGCTGAGTCTCCCCGGGGAGGGCGGAGGGCGGCGGGCGGCGGGCGGCGGGGACCGGGTGCGGTGGTGGCTGCGGCGGCGGCGGTGGCGGCGGGAGCAGCATGGATTGGGGCACTGAGCTGTGGGTAAGTCCAATCGGCCCGCCTCTAAGTTCCCCTTTGCTGGGGTCCAGGTACCCCCCTTTTGTCCCCAGTGTATCTTAGAGGGGGCTCCGCGCCTTTCCCTTCCACCAACCCCTGGGTCCCCGCCCTCCACCCTCCGCCCTCTCTCGGAGTGTATCTGGGAGTCTCAGCACGCTCAGGGGCGAAGGGCAACTTTGCCGAACCGGCATGGGGAAACTGAGGCACAGAGTTGCGAGTGAGGCGGGCAGAAGGAATCCTGGGGCCCGGCCGGGGCGGCTGGGAGAGGTCACCTATTTTGGGCTCCCTGGCCGGGCAGGCGGCTTATCTTACGGCCCCTGGGTCCCTGCCCGTCGTCCGCCTGTCCGGCTGGGAGGGGGGAGGGGACCCTCTGGTCACCCTCATCCCCACCCACGTGGGACCTAGAAGTCCTGACCGCCCTTTCCCTCGCCTTTAATCAACACCTAGGGGCTGGGGACGCTCATGGAGGGGAAGGGGGATGCTAAGCTCGGCCTAATCCCCCTCCCTGGCTTCCCCAGGCCCAGGGCGGGATCGCCCCCTGGTCGCCTATAACCTCAGCCCTGGAAGCCCCAGAAATTTCCCCCTATCCTAGCTGGACCTCTGACCCCTCCCCTTCCTGGGGGTGGTGGAATCCCTGAGTTCTCAGTGCAGCGGGGGTAACCAGACCGCCACTCCCTCCTCCAACTCTGCGATTTCTTTTGGATGTGTAGTGGGGTCAGTGGGGGAAATTGAGTCACCCATTGGGGGATCCCGGGAAGCAAGGAGATTCAGGGAACCTGGTGCCTGCCCCCTGGCCACTCAGGGGCCCCCAGTCTGCGAGGAACCCTGCCCCTCTGGCCTTGACTCACGCCGGGCCGGCCGGATTTTCCGGAATCCGGGGGGATTAGGGGAGCCCGAGCTGGGGGAGTGGCCCTGTCCCCTTCCACGCCCCTCTTGGCGGTCCTATGTCGGAGACCCCTGTCTCCCGGCCGGGGTGGCTGGGCCCTGGGCGCTGTTCTCCGGCCCTTCCCGGGAAGGGGAGGGGGTTCCCGCCAGTTTCCTGCCTCCCCCCGCGCCACGCCGGGGCGGCGCCGGGAAGCCACTCCTAGGAACGCAGAGCCTTGGAGCTCCCTGGGAGTCTGGTCGGCGGGCTGTGGGGTCCCAAGATCGTGACCCCGGCTCCTCTCTCCTCCTCCCCCACCATGTCCCCTGTCAGGATCAGTTCGAGGTGCTCGAGCGCCACACGCAGTGGGGGCTGGACCTGTTGGACAGATACGTAAAGTTCGTGAAAGAACGCACCGAAGTGGAACAGGCTTACGCCAAACAACTGCGGTGAGACCCTGGGGTGGACGCTACGGAGGACGCGCCTGGGGCGAGGGGGAGCGGTGGGAGGACTGCGGGCTCAGCCCTCCTACCTCTGTCTCCCCTTAGGAGCCTGGTGAAAAAATATCTGCCCAAGAGACCTGCCAAGGATGATCCCGAGTCCAAGTAAGGTTGGAGAGGGGCTGCAGGGCTAGATTGGTGGGGGAGGGCGGTGCGTGGGTCTCACTTCCCCTCCCTCAGCTGGGACACCCCACACCGCTCCTCTCACTTCCCCCTCTAGAGGTGAGAGCAAGGATGAAAGATGCGGGATTATCTAGGTTGGAATCCTGAGTCCACTACTATGTAGATGAATTGCCTTGGGCTTGTGATTCAGGGTTTCTGCCACTATTTTCCTTAACTGTTAAATACAAAGGCCCCAGCAGTTACAAAACCAGTAACTTTGGGCAGATGACTTAAAGTTTTGCGCCTCTCTTTTTCTCATCTGTAAAATGGGATGATGACGATTCCTCCAGCTTTGTAGGTCTTGCATGAACACGAGCTGAGTTAATGTGTTAAAACGGTGTGCAGTCCATATTAAATGCCGTCAGGAGCATTTGACTTTACTTTGAGTTCCCAATTCCAAAATCCAAAAAGCCCTGGAAATCAAGTTGCTTTGGTCACTTGTTTGGTGGCAGTCTCTGACCTGAACTAACTTTTTGTTAATTGTAGTTTTGTTTTCCTTTTTTTTTTTTTAATACAGAGGCTCACTCTGTCACCCAGGCTGGAGTGCAGTGGCGCCATCTCAGCTCACGGAAACTTCCGCCTCCCAGGTTCAAGTGATTCTCCTGCCTCAGCCTCCCTAGTAGCTGGGATTACAGTCACCTGCCACCATGCCCAGCTAATTTTAATATTTTCAGTAGAGACAGGGTTTCACCATGTTAGCCAGGCTGGTAATTGTAGTTTTGACTTTTATCCCACTTAGTGTGAATGTTAACACCTCTCATTGTAAAAAAAAAAAAAAAAAAAAAAAAAAGGGGCTGGGCGCGGTGGCTTACACCTGTAATCCCAGCACCTTGGGAAGCCTAGGCGGGTGGATCACTTGAGGTCAGGAGTTCAAGACCAGCCTGGCCGATGTGGTGAAATCTTGTCTCTTCTAAAAATACAAACATTAGCCAGGTGTTGTGGTGGGTGCCTATAATCCCAGCT